CTAATAGAAAAAAATATGCTTGACACTTGAATTATTTACTTATTTTAATGCAAAAAGTAAGGTGTAAATAATACTTTTCTTTGCCACCGTTGTTCACTGAACTCAAGTGATAGTTTAATATTCTGCAGATTGCATTCTCGGTCAAAATTTCATCCGTAATAAGATTATTTAATTGAGTTGCCAACATGGTGAACGAGTTTAACCTCTGTCCATCGGACACTAGCAATCTGTAGCGATCAGTAGCGCCACCATCCTTATTAACGGTTCTTGGTAGTTTTTTGTAACCCTGTAAAATTATTACACAATTATTAGAATAGCATTCACTGAAAATTACAAAGTAGAATACTTCTCTTGCACATCCAAAGCATCAGTCCTGTGCAACATCATAATTTTTTATTACAATTAAAATGTTTACTTAACAATTGAAATATTTCTAATGTGATAGACATATATATCATGAGTCATGATGCATAATATATCAAGATATAACAAACACTTAAAGTTAGATAAAAATCTACATAAAAATGACAGAAGCAATTGTCCTGACTCTGCTGAGTAGACCTTGCTCTGTAAAAAAAGTCATGTTTTCGAGATAAATAATTTTGATGCGCCGACTTACGAGGACGTGACAGATCAGAAATGGGATTCTTGTAACTCCTTAACGACAGTTTCGGTATTGTTGCGCAGCTTTTTTACCGTATATAGTACCTGCACAACGATACCGAAACTGTCGTTAAGAAGTTACAAAATCTTGCTACTGAATTCTATACTCACCAATATTTGGAGCACCGGTTTCTCGACGTTCGTGCCCCGCATGATTCTCTGAAACGATGAAATGTCGATTGTTACACAATACAACGCAATAACAATACAATGCTTTCAACAGATTTACCTCCAACGCTCCTTCCGTTAAATTGTACATGACTGCGGTTTATTATCAGCGTGGTGAGAAAAGTCCTACTGATTGCTTATCCAACAAAAAAAGGCCGACGATGTCGATATTATCTTCCGTTCCGCTGTTTCCCGCCGAATAGTTGACACCACGAACGGTTGACACGTCGAGTCGAATGTCGAGAAGCATTCAGACACAGTAGGCCGAGTTTCCACTGAGCGCGTCAAGCTGTAGAGAAGTAAGAGATTGGACACCGTTTAGACAACTTTTGATTGGTGCTTTGATCCGCCATTGTTCAGGACAACTACGAGGGAATATGAATATAATATTGACGTTTCTGCATGGTTCATTGGTTTCATATCAAAATGGTTTAAGATAATGTCATCAAGAACTCCGAGATTAGCTTTAGGTAAATTAAATATGACTAAATTTAAAGAAACAATAAACTTTTTACATGACGTAATTTCAAAAATAAAAGTTGGCAAATCAGAGGCATGAAAACCTTTTCAAAAAGAAATAATTACAATATTTCCACAAAATCTGCTATAGAATTAAGTACCTATTTATTAGAAAAAGAAGCTTTCGAATTTGTTTTATTAGAAAGATTTATGCAGGATTGCCTCGAAAATTTATTTTCAATTATCCGAATGAATTATCCGTAATTCCAAATGCTATACAATTTAAAAATGATGTAAAATTAATAACAATTTTACAATATATGAAAAATTCCGAAAATAGTAGTTATGACCTTGATGATAGAGAATTTTTTTCAGAATTTTTGGATATTGTTGTTGCAAAAAGACGACAATTAAAAAAAGACAAAACCAAAGAGAATTTGTTAAATAATAATATAGTACAAACAAATATAAGTGATATTTGTGATAACCAGGATATAACTTTTAATAATATAAATCTAAACTGTTTATATTACTTAGGAGGGTACGTAATTTATAAAAAAAAAGATATATAATATTTGTGATAATTGCATTAGTGCAACAGATGGTAAAGTATTCATTATATATGTATTTTATCTATCAACAAGATGTATGTATAACAATAACTAATATATTTATATATTTTAATTTTTTAGGAACAATATAAGTGTGGGTATTGCAAATAGATATTAAAACATGACCAACTTGAACAGCATTCTTGCTTTGCGAACAATCTACATTCATTAGTGATGGATAATGAAAGAAGACTTTTCATAACAGGTAATAAAAAGTTCTAAAATTATATTGTTAATAAATTGTTTAAATTACTTTACTAATTGTTATTGCAGGAAACGAGACTAACGAAACCAACGAAGATAATGTGCAAGATGAATATTGGCTGGATGAGAACTTCAGCGGAACTAACGAAGACAATGTGCAAGATAAAGATAGGCTGGATGAGGACCTTAACGAAACTAACGAAGACAATGTGCAAGATAAAGATAGGCTGGATGAGGACCTTAACGAAACTAACGAAGATAATGTGCAAGATAAAGATAGGCTGGATGAGGAACTCATCTCAGCTATAAAAAAACAGACCCGCGTTGTACGATAGTAGTTCGTCGGTGAAACAAAGAGGAAGAAAACAAAAAGATCGCTTGTGGAACGAAGTCAGTGTACTTTTAAAGGGTAAAATTATTTTGTGTATCTTTGCATTTTATCTATAATCACTTTTATAGCACATTATTATGGTTACAAATTTTATATTGTAGGCTTATATACACCAAGTGAAGCGGAAAAGAGGTGGAATTACCTACGAGATTGTTATAGAAAAGCAAAAAATGCATTCAAGAAACGACAAGCTGTGCTGCAAAGAAGTGGCGCAGCCGGGATACCAAAATCCGAAACAATAATGCCGTCCTTTCGTCATTACAGTGAAATGACATTTTTAAATGATACCTTGGAACATCGGCAGTAAGTAAAATAATAATTGATCAGTTAACAATGAGGTTCTTCACTAACTTTTGCTCCCGCACAAGGGAGCCACTGTGGCTGGTAGTTTTCGGCGTAAATGATGTACTACCAAAAAATACTACCAATACTACCAAATACTACCAACATTTATATTGGTGCTGCACTCTATGCTAGCTTTCACTAAAGAACCCCATTGTTGATTACCATGGTTATATTGGAGATACATATGTTATAATAATTTCTTAATATTTATTTCAGAACTGTAACTTCTTTAAAAGCAGCAATTAACAATGAACAAACATCTACA